CCCCTGTCTTCCTTTTGAGATTCTGCAGTCTGTTTCGTGCTTCTATGTCTCTGGATCTATTTTATTCATCAGTTTATTTTGTTCATTGGATCCCACATATGACTGAGATCATGTAATACTTGTCTTTCTCTGACTGGATTATTTCACTTAGCATAATACTCTCCAGATCCATCCATCCTGTCCTGAAGGAAAAGAAATACTTATTTTTTACTGCTGTATAGTATTCTATGGTATAAACGTACCATCTACTACTGATGGGCACTTGGGCTGTTTCCAGATCTTTGCTATTGTAAATTGTGCTTCTATGAACATAGGGGTGCACACATTCTTTCTGACTGGTGTTTCAGGTTTCTTAAGATATAACCATAGAAGTGGGATCACTGGGCCAAATGGCAGTTCCATATTTAATTTTTTGAGGAAACTCCATACTGTTTCCCATAATGGCTATCCCAATCTGCATTCCCACTAGCAGTGTACTAGGGTTCCCTTTTCTCCACATCCTCGCCAGAATTTGCTATTTGTTGCTTTGTTAATGGTAGCCATTCTGGTCGAAACCGGTTTGGCTCAGTGGATAGAGCGTCGGCCTGCGGACTGAAGGGTCCCAGGTTCGATTCCGGTCAAGGGCATGTACCTGGGTTGCAGGCACATCCCCAGTAGATGTGCAAGAGGCAGCTGATCGATGTTTCTCTCTCATCGATGTTTCTAACTCTCTATCTCTCTCCCTTCCTCTCTGTAAAAAAATCAATAAAATATATTTAAAAAAAAAATGGTAGCCATTCTGACAGGCCAGAGGTGATACCTCATTGTCAATTGAATTTTTATCTCAGTGAGAACATCTTAAAAGGTTTTTTTTTAAAGTTTAATATATGAAATTTTAGGAATATAGAAGTTATAGGGAAATAGTCAAATATTCATACTACCTTTATTCAGTTACCAACTCACAAATTTAGAGTCACATTTTCTAATGTAATATATGAATGTAGGCATATTGCTGTTTCCACTCTCACACTTCATAAAACAATTTTATTCTAATTCTTCTAATGAGTTTATTAATTGAGATCATTTTAGGATGCTGTATCTTCTCCAAAGAGCTGGAAACAAGTGGCCTGAATTTGGAAAGAAAAACCCTAAGGACTTCTGTAGAAGGCAAATCCCTCTTTTCCTGACGAGTGGTTTTGGGTGAAAGCTTGGCCTTGCATTGGCCTGGCTGTGTATGATATTCCCCGGCACTATGACTAGTGTGATTGTTTTCCGCTCGTGTGGAGGTCGTTATTGACCTAGAATTTTTCTACTCAGTGTAAGGATACAACTTCCTTTTCCTCCAAATAGTAAATTGATCTTATTAATACCGATGGCCAAATATTCCATTTATCCCCAGGGATTTTACACCAAGTTCCCTTTATGGATGGATTTGTCTGTGGATTATTCAGTTACTGTGTCAGCATCGGATTGTTTTTATTACTGTAGCTTTTTAATATTCTCTTCTTTATGAAAATTGTCTAAGATGCTCATGGTCTTTGTTTTTCCATGGACATTTTGGAATCAACTTGTCAGTTTCTCCCCAAATTCTGCTGTGATTCCGGTTGGGACATCATTTTAGTTATGTCATTTGGATATGGGGGAAATTGATTTTTTCGTTATGTTAGGATGCCCCATCCAGGAAAATGATACGTCTCTTTACTTCTTCAGGTCTTCATTTATGTAATTTAATAAAGTTTTCCCCCTCATAAAGTTCTTCTACTTTTATGTTAATTTCTACATATATTATGGTTCTTATTAATATTATAAATGTTTGGCAATTTTCCATTATTTTAATCGATTATTGGAAGTATAGGATTTAGGCCCTAGCCGGTTTGGCTCAGTCAATAGAGCATTGGCCTGCGGACCAAAGGGTCCTGGGTTGCATTCCGGTCAAGGGCATGTACCTTGATTTCAGGCTTCTCCCTGGCCCAGGCCCTGGTTGGGGATCGTGCAGGAGGCAACCAATTGGTGTGTTTCTACACACATCGATATTTCTCTCTGTCTTTCCCTCTCTCCTACTCTTCCTAAATATCAACAGAAAAATATCCTTGGGTGAGGATTAACAACAACAACAACAAATAACAAAGTCAACTTAAAAAGAAGTATAGGATTTAGAATAATAAATCCGGAGTTCAAGTTATGCTTCGTTACTTCGTATCTGGGTAAGTCTGGGCTGCACTGACCTCCCTCGCCTCCCTTCTCTCCTAGTTAAGTGGAGGTTACGCTGGACAAGAGCTGTGGTGGCCAATCGGGCAGGATATCCCCTGGTAGTGCAAGCGATTTGGCTGCAGGATGGAAGGATGACCGACTAGTTACAGCAACTGTAACCCAGGGGTCAGGGTCTAGAGCTCGAATGCCGGTGGGGGAGCGGGAGGTGGGGGGGCGGGCGAGGTGGGGGAGCAGCGCAACCCTGCAGGTGCAGGTGTGTGTGGTTTTGAGAAGACATTGAGGGAAGTCACAAGTGTGGTCTCAGGCGATTGCTTTTAGATTACAGAGAATTGGTGGGTGGAGCAGCTCTTGAGTATGAAGTGGAGGCTGAGTCAAAAGCACCTGCGCCGAAGAGGAACCTGAGACCCGCGGGCGCGGCGCTAGGACGGTCCCAGA